GTCATAAGACCATTATGCCTCTGATTAATATCATGAAGTAAACTTTTTTCAACTTGCGTATTTTCTGAGACCTATGAGCAGACGATACAATAATAAGACATATGAGAATCAAGAACATAAGACCTCTTGTATTTCTATGAATAGAGTCATTAATGGAAGTTGTACATTTGCTCGTTTCCTTTGTATCGTATGAGTCTTGCCAAAAAGAAAAAAGGGATAGCCTTAACATACCTGAGCCGATTCTCTTGACAATCCCTCTAACACCCGTCAATTGCAAAAAAAGACATGTAACAGCGGATCGAAGTAGGGAAAATCCGTATGTTATTTTGGAGACAGATAGTACCCTACTTCCTTAGAATTGCAAGTCACATTTCTATTACATAACATAATATCGTATGCATTTTTTGTTGTAGCTTCATCCGCACTTTGTCACAATCTTCATCTGCATTGTTGTACTACAAAACTTTTGGCTCCACAAGTAAAGCTTCAAATAACCATGAAAGAATATTTGAAAGTGCAAAACTCCATACAAGGTAAAGTATTTTTTTTGGTTAGCTTCTAGGGAGGCTTGCTTTACTACGATGACAACACTTCCCTTTTTATTTGTTGCAAGGTTTCTCGGCAGCTTCATCCATAAGCTTAGCTAGCTTATGTATTTCCCTCTTGAATTATGTATAATAATATCTTATCTTAAAGATTATGTATTTCCCTCTTAAATTATGTATAATAACTGAGCTCCTCTATCAGAGATAATAGATATAGGGACACCATGCAGTCCTACTATCTCCTAAATGTAAAGCTTTGCATAATCCTCTGTGGAATATGTAGTCCTAACGGGCAGAAAATGGGCTGATTTTGTAAGTCTATCAACAATCACCCATATAGAATTGAACTTATGTTTGGTGCGAGGTAACCTGCGATGAAATCCATATTGATTACTTCACACTTCCAAGTCGGAATCTCTATAACATGCAATAATCCACCGGGTTTTTGATGCTCAATCTTGACCTGCTGACATTTAGGGAACTGAGTGACAATCTCTGCTATATCCTTTTTCATTCCGTCCCACCAATATATTTTCTTGATATCATGATACATCTTTGTTGCTCCTAGATGAATAGAATAAAAAAGAATAGTGAGTTTCTCCCATGACCTGCCGACGCAGCCCTGCAACATTAGGGACACATAATCAACCTCGATATCTGAGAACCCCATCTTCTGTAACCTCAAATGGTGTCTTATCCTTATGAGGGGTTGTATCATTATAATGAGCTAACACAGAATCCTTGTATTGGTATTCCTTTACTTCAGTTACTAAAGAGGATGTTGCCGTGTCCTGAATAGTAATTCCGGTATCACCTGAATCCAATAATCGAACTCCAAGACTAGTTAGCTGATGAATCTCATGGGCTATTGTCGTCTTATCTGGCTGTAAATATGACAGGCTACTCATAGATCTACGGATGACTATGTCGGCTACTATGTTTGCCTTCCCCGGATGGTATAAAATATCAACGTCATAGTCTTTAAGTAGTTCCAACCATCTCAATTGACGTAAATTCAATTGCTTTTGCTTGCAGATATACTGGAGGCTCTTATGATCCATATAAATATCAACATGAATGCCATACAAGTAGTGCCTCCACATCTTTAGTGCATGATTCACCGTAGCTAACTCTAAATCGTGGGTCGGGTAATTCTTCTCGTGCTTTCTTAGCTGTCTAGAAGCATAAGCTACAACCTTACCATGCTGCATCAGTACACAACCCAATCCAATGCCCGAAGCATCATAATAGATAACATAACCGTCTGTCCCCTCTGGGAGTGTTAGAACCGGTGCTGATGTTAAACTGTCCTTCAATGCCTGGAAACTCCGTTCGCAAGCATCAGCCCATTGAATCTTAGCTCCCTTTTGAGTCAACTTTGTCAATGGTGCCGAAAGCGAAGAAAATCCCTCTACAAATCTCCTAAAATAACCTGCCAAACCGAGAAAGCTACGAACCTTCATCGGTGTCGTGGGTCTAGGCCAAGTCTTTACTGCCTTAATCTTTTGTGTATCAACCCGGATACCTTCACTCAAAATGATATGCCCAAGGAAAGCTACAGAGTTCAACCAGAATTCACATTTAGAGAATTTTGCATACAACTTCCCTTTTTGTAGAACTCTGAGCACAGTACGTAAATGATCTGCATGCTCGGTCTCTGGACGAGAATACGCCAATATATCATCAATGAATAGAATTATGAACTGGTCTAAGAAGGGTCTGAACACACGGTTCATAAATTCATGATTACTGCTGGGGCATTAGTCATACCGAATGACATTACACAAAACTCAAAGTGCCTGTATGTGGTCCTGAATGTTGTCTTCAGAATATCTTTCTCCTTAACCCTTACTTGATGGTACCCGGACCTCAAGTCTATCTTCAAGTCTATCTTTGAGAAACACTTTAGATTTCCTATGCAAACTAAAGTATGGTAAAGCAACAAGGTTTTAGGAAGATATGGTGAGGATAAGAAAGGGCGAGTGAGAAGGTGACGAGAATGGATAAGTCCTCGGGATTAAGCCCATCAAAACAAGAGAGCTGATGGTTTCTCTAAATTATAGAAAGCTGAGTGTAGCCTGAATGAAATCAAAGGAGTCTATGACTAGTAGCATCTAGAAGAGATGGAATGCTGCCCTGGTAGTAGAATGAGGATGTAATTGTGACAGATAAATGATGCGTTTGGTGCCTTTAATTGAGTAATGATTTCATGAATTGTACAGGATTAAAATACTCACGTAAGGTAAATCACATTGGGATGATATGAAATACGGTTATGGAAGTGTGGTATCGCCCCCAGGTGTATCAGTCTAATCACTTCAGATATTCCTCGATAAGACGTAAGCTCTATTGACAACATATTACGTAAGAGGTTTCGAGTTATCAGTGGTAGAGTGTAGATCAATACTGAGGTGAATAAATAATGGATGGATAAAAGTCACAAAGTATCAGTTGAGATTAGGCCATCATTCTTAAGATGAAAGGGAATGAGGAATCATTAAAGGACATAGATTTATACATATGGAACAAGCAATGAATGTAACCTGAAGTTTGGTAGCAGACTCAGTAACGATAAATCGAGGTAAGGGTTATTGTATATTATGACCTAGTTAGATGCAGTA